CCCCAAAACCCCAAAACCCCAAAACCCCGTAGTCTAACATTGAATTTAAATGTTGAAAATAAACAAAGTAATCATCAATTAGTTTTAATGTTTTTGATTTTCTCCTCAATCTCCTTTTTATCTTTCTCTGGCATCATGTATTACTTATCAGCAATCATTCTTGTTTCATAGATTTATTCTTCTGTGACTTCTCTCATCACTTTTACAAATGGTGGAATTTTAATTTATTATGCTTCTCTTGTTGTTTCAATTCTCATAATTGAAAATGAAAATCCTTTTAGATTAAGGAAAGTGTCTACTATAAAGTACTATGATTCATAGATAAAGCACTGTCTCAACTTTTTAATGACTTTTTTAGCATTATCTTTTTGATCTAACAATTCAATATACTCCCTAGCAGTAATTTGTCTCTTTCTGACAATTCTCTCATTATTTTGCATTGTCTTTGTTTCATGGTAGTAAATAAAAGAGTCATTTTTACCAATCTTCCTAGCGACATTATCGATTTACTCTTCTGCTGTGTAAAGTAAGAAAGTCTCCTCAATGTTAAAGTATTCCTTCTTCACGTTTCTTGGAACTTGAATATCATAGTTGTTCTTATCAGCTATCAGCAAGAATTTTTTAATAAAGGTTGATGGAGATGGAAGTCCAATGAATTTAAGCACAGTTTCCAAGCAGCTATCAATTTTTTATTAGAAACTTGAGAAATTATTTTGAATAATTGAGAAATGTGGATGACCTACCCAAGCATTAATAAGCTTTTAGTCTAGCTCCTAGGCAGCTTGAAGATCTTCATATCTTGCTTGGTTATTAGTCATAGTATAAAATTCTTCTGCTCCTTAAGCAGCGGTGACGAGATGAATGACAGCCTCGTACCTACGATCTCTTAACTGCATGGTACTCCATCCAGTTTCATCTAGGATAGCTTGCCACACATTTTCCTCGGTGTAAGCTGATCCATCCATGACTCCTCTATCACACAGAATGATAGTTGGTTGATCACTATTCATAGCTATCTAAATGAAATTATCCTCTAAAGACATTTGTAATTTCATCAGATTAATTTGGAATCTAACTGCATTAGCTAAAGTCATTTTTGGAGTTTCAATGAATGCTCCTCCTTTCATAAGTATAGTAGCTGCTTCAGGTACTTATAATACCTTAAAGCCCATTTGTTGCAAAACCACTGATAAAGTGGCTAATGCTGTTGTTTTACCAGCACAAGGTCCGCCAGTCAAGCAAATTCTTGTAATTGGATGCTTGCTATCTTTAATAGCTTTTCTGGAATCTAGTTCATTTCCACGACTGCTAGTGGATCTATTAATTCCAAGCTCTTCATGTGCACTTGTCTATGCTGTCAACTTTGAATTGTTTCTTTTTCTCATTACTCTTTCAACTCTTTCAATCTCTTCATTCATTGTAGCTAACTTATCCTTTTTGCCACCATTATCTCCTCTGTTTGAATCAGTTGTGCTCACATTTCTGCTTCTAATGCCCTCAGATGGTTATGACTTCTTTACTTATTTAGCTTCCATCTCTTTATGCTTTTATTGCTTTTCAATTTGTTTCTTCAGTTTTTGCTTCAATTTAGCCTCTTTCATAGCAAGCTAATCTTTACTTGAAAAGTGCTTGAGGATTTGTAAGCCTACAAACGCAACACTAATGAAAATAGTAAGGTAAAACCAAACATTTCCATTTTGCTATTTCAATTAGCGCTCCATTTAAAGATACTATCAATAAATAATAATTTATTGAAGAGGGAAGATGCTTTCGTAATTAATAGTTAATTTAAACACAATTGAAAATTTTAATCATCATCATTTAATATTCAAAATTTTGTTTAACAACCCGTGAGATAATTCTCAGGAGTATTTGCTCATTGCTTTGCCTTGAAAAAATCTCCAATACTTTTGTTGTTCACTAATGCTCTTTTTTGGCCGATAGAGATCTTGGGCTTTTGCTGGTTTTACAATTTATACTGCTCTAAACTCTCCTTAATAAACTTAGGTGGGCTAAGAGGTTATCTTTGTTGTTCTTGATCTTACAAATCTTTGATTTTGTCTGGACTGATGAAGCTTTTCAAAAAGCTCTTCTTCTTTGTTGTCTTTAGGATGCAATCACTTGCTGACATATTCATCATTGATTCTACTTCATTTATCTAATCAGAAAGTGGGTCAATAATGACTATCTCTTAAGGACAATCTCTTATAGGTATAATATTTGAGTTGTGATTAGTAAACTACATCGTTGTATTATAATACTGACTCATTATAAGTGAATCTTACTGGTACATCTCTCTTAATACATTGTTTTAGCTGTATCCTCTGAAGTTTGTATCAATATATTCATATTCTATGTCTCCATAACTATTTTGCTATTTTTGTTTGTTTTCTTGATATTAATTCTAGCTGTCTGATGTCAATAGAGAATCTCTTCTCTATGTTAAATTTTAGCAAGTCAATCTTTAATACTTAGTATTACTCTTTAATTAAAATTTGTCTACTCTTTTTTTCATTAATCCGAATTTGCTTAGCTTCTTACCTTACTCATCAGAATTTAATTTTCTGAACAGAGGTTTAATAGGTTAATAGCCTTCTATTATCTATCTAATAGAGTCTATCCTTTGCTATTTTTCTTACTGTATTTGTTTTTCTTTGAGGATTGCTTCGAAACTTTTGAAGTTATCCGGATCAATCTTACCAGAAGATATCTACACAGCTACTTAATTAGGCTAGATTGTGCCAAAATACTCAATGATAATATTATCACTAATGTCTTCCTAGAGTTCATTCAAATATCTCTATTGCTTGAGATCAGTATCAAATATGACTTAGAACTTAAAAGTCAATTCAGCCCTTCTGAATTCATGCAAATAATTTTGTCTAATTTGAATGTCTTTGTTCTTTAAGTTTTCGATAATTTTATTAATGTCTCCATCAAGATCCTTTATCAATTTCAATGCAGTCTTGAAGCCAACACCTTTAATTGATTCACAATAATCACAGCCATTCAATATACAAGTTTTAAGAAATAACTCATAATCAAATACAGCTCCTCCCTTAGACTTAGGCATTTTAAAGCTTTCACATTAGTATAAATTAGAAAGGTCAATCTCTATACCTTGGCCGGATGGATCCATCTTAAAAAAGACCTTCGTGACTCCGTAAACAAGCAGGTCAGAATCTTCTGTTATAATGAGATCAACTTTCTTAGACTTAAATAAATAAGCAAGTTGTGCATCTGCTTCATAAGGTGCCACTATAAACTGAACACTCATTGTTTCAAGAACTTGTATAAGCCTATAAATCATGAGAGAGTTAATCTCAACTGCTTCCATAAATTTTCTTAAAGCTTGTGTAGTATCTCCTTGAGCCAGGAAATCCTCTGCTTTATTGCGGCTCTCTAATCGCGCTTTTTTCCTCTCCTCTTCAATACGCTTTTTCATAGGGAGTCTGGCTCCATCAAAAACTAGAATTGGATGAATTCCATTTACTTATAGTAATTTGATCTTTCCAACACAATAATCAATCACTCTAAAAGATAAATTAATGATTCACCATACATACTTTTCTAGACCTTACCAAGGATTGTCTCTCATTAACTCTCTAGCACATTAATATGCCCCTTAATGCATCCTAAATAATATATTGACATTATTAATTTTACCAGCATAGAGCATCTATTCCAACAATTTTACCCTTATATTCTCTGATATGCTTTTCATTTTATATAGCTTTCAAAGCTGGCAATAGACCATGAATACCCATTTATACTGAGATCAACGTATATAAATCAAATTTAAATTTAAAAATTTTATACCAGAATATCCGCAAATTTTATAATGCTGGGGTTTTGGGGTTTTGGGGTTTTGGGG